TTGGTTCTATAATTGATGCCAAAGGAAGCAACAGTCGGGACATTACACGACATATAGCACTGGGCAAGTTGGCTGCAAGGGACCTCTTCCAAGTGCTGAGGAGCAAGGATGTCTCCTTGAGGACTAAGGTGTGCCTGACACAAGCCATGCTATTTTCAGTCAGCTTGTATGCATGTGAGAACTGGACAATGAATAAGGAAGACTGAAGAAGAATTGATGCTTTTGATTTGTGGTGCTGGTGAAGAATGCTGAAAAGTACTGTGGGCTGCTAAAAGAACAGATCTGTCCTGGAAGAACTGCAGCTGGAATGCTCCTTGGAAGTGAAAATGACCAGACTTCATCTCACCTACTTTGGTCATATTGTCAGAAGGGACCATTCCCTGAAGAAGGATGTCATGCTTGGTAAGGTGGAGGGTGGATGAAAGAGGGGAAGGCCTTCAACAAGATGGATTGACACAGTGGCTGCAATGATGGGCTCAAGTATAGCAAGGATCATGGAGCTGGCGTGGGACTGGGCGGTATTTTGTTCTGCTGTGCATTGGGTCTCTATGAGTCGGACACGAGGACACCTAACAACAACAACAACTTGGCCTGTACCACCACAGGGTCTAATCAGACCCATTATAGTTAATTGTCTTAATTCAGGGCAGTGCCCACTGTTAAATCTAGCTTACATAAAACAGCAATCACAGCAGTCTTCAAGGATGCTGGTGCTTCCTTCACAAATTTGTTCCTTACCTTTGTGGTAAAAGATACATCCTCTGGGCACACTCTATGTGTGGATCTAATCTGATAAATCCATTCTAACATGTCAGTTTCTGTAAGCCTTTGGATTCCTTCTTCTACATTATACCAAAGCAGGTCTGGTACTTCATCTTGACTTAGTGTAGGCCACCGCATAATCCATGCTTCATGAAACCAACCAAATAAACTGTTAGATCCTTTCCTCACCTCTGGAGCTGAAACACTGAATGAAGAATCTGTGCTTAGTAGGTCCAAATAATAAACACAGACTGATCAATGTTATATTCCTTGCACCATTATCCTGCACACTTAATGGCCATTCCCACATAATAGTCCCCATATTTCTGTTTGTACATATTAGAAAAATCAAGCACTTCTTCTGGAGTGTAGCATACCTCTTCCTGGGTCCCTTTGGACTTCACCTCTTGGGGCTCACTGGGACTTAAGTCTAGTTATAGGTCTAGCATCAGACAGTGCCCCAGGCACTGTCCCAGGTGATACCTCAAAAATGACTCGGCAGGCACATCTTAGTCTCAACAGATGGGGTAAGAGGGCTGGTCCTGCTGGCAGGAGTGATTCAGTGGAATTTGGGAGCTCAGGGCCCCCAGCTTCCTGATTGTCTGCCCATATGTCCCCATCCCAAGTTTCAGTATCCTATTTCTTCCCAATTAATGCCCTTACTTTAACTTCAGACACTATTCAAGGTTGGCAATACACTTGGTATTGTAATTCAGCCACTCTTAGGATAAGACTCTGGGTTTGGTTTTTGGCAATATGAGCTCTGTTACCACAAGAAATAAGGCTTTCTTTCAGGGAACAAGTGAAAACATTGAGGTCTTTTATGTGGCACTTGAGCTGAGACTCTGAAGCCCTGAGCTCATCTCCTCTCATCACTTTGTCTAGTGTTTGTAGGACCAACCAACCAGTTTCTTTATACTCCTCATTCTGACAAAATTGCAGAAAAGTATCAAACATCCAATCACCCAGAGCCTTACTTCTCACCAATACTATCTATTGATGGTGCTGTTTTGTGTATTAATATTGCCACCTTAAGCCATGGATTAGCAGCACCCTCTTTAGTAATGGAGGCAAAGCCATCCACACCTTTACAACTAATCAGACTTGAGAACCAATTTAGAAAACTCATCCTTACAACTTTCTTTCTCTAGAACCACTCTCGGTACCAAATGTCTTAGGTTGAGTTAAGACATATATATTGGGTTGAGTTCTTTAGAAGCAAAAATAGTGACCCACCCATTGCGATCAAGTTGATTCCAACTCATAGTGACCCTACAGGACAGAGTAGAAATGCCCAGAGGGTTTTGAAGGCTCTAAATCTTTATGAAGGAGCTCTGGTAGCATAGTGCCTAAGGCACTTGACTGTTAACCAGAAGGCTGGCGATTCAAATCCACTAGCCATTCCTCGGAAGGAAGGTTGGGCAATCTACTTCTGTAGTGATACTGCCTCAGAAACCCAAGGAGTGGTCGCTATGAGTCAGGTCCAACTTAATGGCAAATAACAACAACAACAACAAATCTTTATGAAGCAGACTGCTTCATTTTTCTCCTGCAGAGGGGCTGGTGGGTTTGAACTGCCTACCTTTTGGTTAGCAACCAAATCCTTTAACCACTACACCACCAGAGCTCCAAAACCAATGAAGCCTATATATACATATATACGTGTGTGTGTGTGTATACACACACACATATACATACATATACACACACACAGAGAAGAAGACAGAGTGGAACTTATCTTAAGGAAATGGCTCATGCAGTTGGCAATCCCAGGTCCATGGGTCAAATGTCAAACTGGAGGCTTCTGACTCACGTAGCTGCAGGAGCTGATGAACCAAAGATTGGCAGGCAATACAGTAGGCTGCTGGCTTTGGAAGCTGACAAATCCAAAGTGGCAGATAAGATGGCAGGCTGTTGGCTCACCGGCTGCGAAAGCAACGATCTCAAAATTGACAAGCAGTATGGCGGACCACTGGTTAAGTCCAGGAACTGAAGGTCAGATGATGAAGAGCCAGATACAGGAATCACATCAAGCAAAAAGCCACAGAGCTTTGCTAGTACATCCATATATATTGGAAGCAGACCACACCTCTGAGGAAATTCCCTTTCAACTGATTGGCCGCTCACAGTAGATCTCATCGTGGGGGGTGACTACATCATAACTGCTAAAGCACTGAGAATCATGGCCCAGCCAAGTTGACACACAACTATCACAACATAATAACTGTAAATTATAGCAATTATTATTATGTTGGAGGAAGGGCGTTACCAACTGAGGAAACTGGCTAGGCAAAGGCCTGGAGATGAGAATGCAGAGCATGATTTGGGAACAGCACAGAGTGTTGAATGACAGGGCTGGAGTGTGTAAAATGAACTGGGAGGTGTTTTCATACCCTAGGATCACGTTCCCTGACTTCTTGTCCTCCTCTGCTGCAGGTAGAGATGGGACCTTTTAAGCATGCAGTGGATGATGGGCTCGATGTGCGGAAGGCAGCCTTTGAGTGCATGTACTCACTGCTTGAGAGCTGCCTGGCCCAGCTGGACATTTGCGAGTTCCTGAACCACGTGGAGGATGGGCTGAAGGACCACTATGATATCCGGGTAGGACCAAGCACCCATGCCCACCCTGGACAGAGAGACAGCCAGTTCCACTGGCCCTACTGCTTGCTTGTCCCCCACTCCTAATTCTTGGAACCCCCCTGAAAATAGCTGCCTTGTTCTTTTCCAATAAGAACAAGATCCTAAGGCTCACACTCCTTTGGTGGAGTCAACACTGGGCAACCTTTCAAGCCGGTTTGGTAATGACTATTCTCAGTTACATTGTTTGACCCAGCAATTCCACCTTTATAAAGATAGCCTTATATATATAAAATAAGCCTGACTCACTTTTATAGTAAAAAGCCAATTTGAAATAATCAAAAGTAACACTTGCTTGTCTTACATGACTCAAACAACACAAAAATGAATAAAGGAGCAAACAGTGAACATAATTATCCTAGGGCCCTGAGTAAGGAAACGGCTTGTACTACTAGCCTAAAGGTTGACAGTTCAAACCCACCTGGTGGTGCCATTGAAAACAGGCCTGATAATCTGTTTGTGTGAAGATTACAGCCAAGAAAACCTTATGGAACAGTTCTACTCTGTAACATATGGGGTCACACTGAGTCAGAATCCACTTGACAGCAGTGGTTTTAGTTAATAATCACCTCAAATCTTCCCTCCACAATTACTGTAAATCTGAGTACGTTTCTTGGGATCATGCACATGACATTCATTAATGTACTTAGCCACTAGTTAGTGACTACAGGTGCTGGGCACACAGGTAAATGAAACAGGAGGGTCTCAGCTCTCAAAGCCCTAGAGATATGTATGTATATGCATATGCATATGTATTTTACAGAAATGAGATAATAACCATATATGCTGTTTTATCCCTGATTTTTTTTAACTTGTCAGGCTTATTTCACACAGCATGTTTTCAAGGTTCAACCATGTCATTAGCATACATCAGAATTTTATTACTCTTTATACCAAAAACCAAACTCACTGTCCTCGAGTCAGTTCCAATTTATAGCGACCTCCCATTGGGTTTCCAAGGTGATAGCTGTATGGAAGTAGATTGCCCAGTCTTCCTTCCGAGGAGTGGCTGGTGGGTTTGAACCGCCAGCCTTCTGGTTAGCAGTCAAATGCCTTAGGCACTATGCCACCAGAACTCCTATTTATGGCTGTGTAATAGTCCATTGTTTGTATATATCACATTTTGTTTATCCATTTATCTGTTGATGGACACTTGGGTTGTTTCTGCTTTTTAGCTATTGTGGATAGTGCTGCTTTGAACATTTGTGTACACATATCTGAGGCCTTGTTTCCATGCTTTGGGGTATAAACCTAAGAATGGAATTGCTGGGCATAAGGTAGTTCTATGCTTAACTTCTGAGGAACAAAAACTTTTCCACAGCAACAGTTTTACATTCCCACCAGCAATATGCAGCATTTTAATTTGTCCACATCCTCACCAACACGTATTAGTTTTCAGTTTCTGTTTTTTGGTAATAGCCATCCTGGTTAGGTGGAACTGGTATCTCACTGTGGTTTTGATTCTCATTTCCTTGATGACTAATGATGTTGAGCATGTTTTCACGTGCTTATTGGCCACTTGACTATCTTCTTTGGACAAATGTCTGAAGTCCTTTGTTTTTCAATTAAGTTTTGTTTTGGTTACTTCGAGCCACTCTAACAGAAATACCACAGGTGGATGGCTTTAACAAACAGGAGTTTATTTTCTTAGTTTTGGAAGCTAGAAGTCCAAATTCAAAAGTGCCAGGGTCCAGAGGCTAGGTGAAAGCCCCTCAGCCTTGGGCTTCAGCTCTGCCTCTTGTTCCCCACCCACTGAAGCTAGAGGTATCTCTTCACTCAGGCAGCTGCTGGCTGCTAAGGCTGGCAAGCTGAAGGTCAACAAATACAAATGGCACAGCCCCAATATTACCAAACAACACAGCAGGCCACTAATTCAAGTCTAGAGATAGTCCCAAGATCAGCAGGAAACATGGTAGGCTGCTGAATGAAGACTGAGCTACATGCAGGGTCCAAGCATGCCAAAAAGCTGCAGACCATTCCCAAAGCTTCTCCTTATATACTGGCAGCAGACCACACATCCCTAAGGCAGCTACTCAGCTGCTCACAGCAGATTCCACCATGGAGTTGATTACCATCATAGGAAGTAACTACACCAGCTACCCAACCACTCAAAACGAGGCCCAGCCAAGTTGACACACATCCTAACTACCCCCAAGTTTTTTGTCTTTTTAAGGCGTTCTTTTTCATATTCTGGAGATTTGATATAAGATTTCCAAATATTTCCTACCATTCTGTAGGTTGTCTTTCACTTTCTTCATATCTTACTTGATCTTCCCTCAGGACAGCCAAGTGTAGTTGGCAAAGCAGGTGTTACCATTCACATCTTATAGATGAAGAAATGAAGGCCCAGGGAGGGAGAGAGTCAAGCAGGACAATGGTGGGAACTAGTGGTGGAATTTGGACTTGGGCACCAGACGTGGGGTGCACAGCCTGTGGTCCTGGACACCTTCACCAAGAACCTGTTTGCTTTCTCCTGAGCAGATGTTGACTTTCATCATGCTTGCACGGCTGGCTACCCTGTGTCCTGCTCCTGTCCTGCAGAGGGTGGACCGGCTCATTGAGCCACTCAGGGCCACCTGCACCGCCAAGGTAAACCCTTTGCCTCACCCTGTTCCACGTACCTGGAGCACTGACCAGAGCCTATGCAGATTCAGTTACCACTTACTGAGCCCTTTCTGCAATAACAGGTGGTATGTGAAGGGCTTCATTTAATTATTACCATGGCCCTTTTGTTGTTGTTGTGTGCCATCGAGTTGATTCCGACTCATAGTAACCACATATAACAGAGTAGAATTGCCCCATAAGGTTTTCTTGGGTATAATCTTTAGAGGGGCAGATTGCCAGGTCCTTTCTCCCATGGAGCTGCTAGTTGATTCAAACCATCGGCCTTTCGGTTAGCACCCAGTGCTTAACCATTTTATCTACAAAGTGCTTATTCTTTTTCCTGTTGTATGCACACGAGAAGAGAGGCTCAGAGAGAGAAAGTTTACATTATTGATCAAGGCTACACAGCTAGTAAATCACAGAGCTGACCCCAGCTCTGGTTCTTTCATTCATTGTAATTCCAGGGTGCCAGGTACTAAATACAGCATTGAATATAATGGGTCCCCACATCACCATCTGTTTACCTCCTAGTTGGGAAGGTGGAATGGACTCTTAGAACAATGGAAAGGATTGATGGATTAATACTGGGCAAGGTTGCTGCTGGACTTGAGTGTCTCAAGGTTCCAAGGAGGGAGCTGGGGAGGAAGGCCTCATGGGAAGCTGCAGTGTTGGGAACAGAGTCTGATGCACTCTGCAGTGCCCAGAATGTCTGTTGACTAAAAGAAATGACGAGGGCTTTGAAAGGCCAAGAAGTCACTAAGAAGAGGGCAGAGTATTTTAGATTGGGCCTTCAAGAGGAGAGAGACACTCAAAGCAGTGTTTAAGTAGCAAAACCTTTCCCCCCAAAATGGAAGATTTGTGGATACAACAGTTACAATTGATCATTTAAAAACAGAAATCTGCATTGTAAGTTTAAGTTTCTTTCATTTGCTTAGTGTCAGTCAAGTCAGTCAGAGGAAGCAGCAGTTCTACAGGGCCACTGCCATCATGACAGTCACAGCAGCCAAGTCATTTCTAGTTTTCTCTGAGCCATTTGTTGTTGTTGTTGTTGTTACGTGCCGACGAGTCAAACCCGACTCATAGCGACCCCTCCTTGGGTTTCCGAGGCAGTATCACTACGGAAGTAGGATTGCCCATCCTTCCTTCCGAGGAGTGGCTGGTGGGTTTGAACCGCCAGCCGTCTGGTTAGCAGGCAAGTGTCTTAGCCACTATGCTACCAGAGCTCCCCTGAGCCATTTAGCATTGAGAAAATCCCACTTCACACAGGGAACCTGCTGCAAATGCACCAGGGCAGCTTTGTCCTAAGGCCACATGGAAGCCTCTTCATTAGGAGGCTCAGAGGAAGGACTAGATGGTTTTTATTCATTAAAACTGGGCATAGAATACATTTCGGTGTAGGTATTATTGCTGTAATGAATTTGAGGATTGGACTTTAGAATATTGACATCAAATTAGAACAAAGTGTGTGTGGAGCTTCTGCCCTACCTCTGCTGACCAAGATTTCCAGACAGTTTGAAGGCAATTTCCATGGCAGTGGTAATGGCCACCATGTCATGAGTGCCTGCTGTTATTTGCAGGACCCTGTAATGAACACAGGAGCCCTGGTGGCTCAGTGATTGAGCAGTTGGCTAACTGAAAGTTCAGTGGTTCAAACCTGCCAGCTACTCCGTGGGAGAAAGATGTGGGAGTCTGCTTCAGTAAAGATTACAGCCTTGGAAACCCTATGGGGCAGTTCTGCTTTGTCATACATGGTCATTATGAATTGAAATTGACTTGGCCGCAACAGGTTTGGTAAGTTTTTGATGATAAGTGCTCACCCACCTAGAGAGCCACAGTTCTGAAATCTCTGAAGCTTTGCAAACCAAAAGCTCTTTAGACACTTGTTTGGCAACACAACTTGAAATGGCATGAGGCTGTCTATGATCTTTATTTTCCTCTTTTTATGACTATTTATAATAGTCATACTTTTGTCATACATTTAGTAGGGAAAATATTAATGTATTTAATTATGGGATACTGTACCAGATCCCACTGGAGTGTTGTCTGCACGGTATATCTTTCTAAAATCCAACAAAATCTTGAATTCCTAAACACATCTGGCGCCAAGGGTTTCAGAGAAGGGAGTATGGATCTGCATTAAGTCATTTATCATCAAAACAACTCTGTGAGGTATATTAAGAGGAAAGAGACCCCAAATTCAAACAAATTTAATAGAGACACTTTTATTAAGCCTTGGACAAAGCAAAGACAGTCATCCTGGATGAGGGAAACCATCACCATGAGAAAGCTGACTGGAGTCCACCGAGTCATGGCCACGTGGCTTATTCTATGATTTTAAATCATCACAAAATTATGATTGGTGGTAGATTCGTCACTGTTACAGGTGGGACTACAGAAGCAAGGAAAAGACCATGATTGGGATTTGAACATAGGAAAAGGGTTACTGGATTGGTTCTGAGCCTTGATTACCTGGCTAGGTGGTGGTCCGGATAGGCTGTGACTCAAGACACTGCAGCCTGTCTTAGCCACAAGGTGGCTACTAAGTAATACCAAGACCCCAACCTTAGTTTAAATTTGAAAAGGACACTCTCGGACAGTTCCCTAGTTTTTTGTGAGAGTATAGTTGTTGTTATGTGCCCTCGACCAACTCATAGTGACCCCTCCTTGGATTTCTGAGGCAGTATCACTACAGAAGTAGATTGCCCCGTTTTCCTTCCGAGAAGTGGCTGGTGGGTTTGAACCGCCAGCCTTCTGGTTAGTAGTCAAGTGCCTTAGGCACTATGCTACCAGAGCTCCCTTGTGAGAGTATAACCTACTTTCAAATATACTCTTCCTGAAGGCAAACTGCCCCTCCCTAGCTTTGTCCTGGAACTTGTCTGTGTATAGCCACAGTGCTGGTTTAATGGTCAGAAAGAACCCAAATGGCATATGAAACTTATGTTAGGCCTAAGAATGGAGTTAGGGCTCCCACTGAAGACCACAGCCTTCCACAAACCCAAGCACTTTAGAATTTAAGCTCTCATACAGAGGAGAGGCTCTTATCACATGTTTTATAGATGGGGAAATGAGGGCTTGAGGAAGTGATTACTTAAGTCCTAGTTCTCTGGAGGCAAAGGCATTGCCAACCCCCAAGCCATCTTCTTAACCACTACACCAAATTCTTTATGGAAAGTGCTGAAGTCTGGTCTGGGTTACCTATGGAGAGCCTTAACCCTTCTGTAAGGATTTTGGAATTCATTCTGTAAGTAATGAGGGGATTACTGGGTCTCTTTGAATAAGCAGGAGACGAGGAAACAGAAACCATGCAAGGTCTCAGTTTACTTTCCAGCTGTATTTGTAGAACTGGTTGCAGGGGCAGGGACTTGAATGAGCTAGTAATCCATTCCTTCCATCTTTCATAGAGTACCAGGAAGGAGCCTGTTCTAAGCATGGGAAATGAAGCTAGGGCCCCTGCTGTCAGTGGAAAGAGATAAATAATCAAGAAATTGATTTTACAACTGTCACTATCAAATTATTAACTAAAATAAATGTGTGTGGGGAGAACAATTTAGATCAGCATAACAAGTCAGGTGACACTGAAGCTGACAAAGAACCATCCTCTGGGGAAATGAGAAGTAGCAGGTCAGTGAGGCTGGAGCCCTAGGAGCCTGAAGCAGAGGAGCTTTGAGATGGCATTGAAGATGGTCAAGCTGCTGGGTGGGGGTGGAGAGGAACCAGGACCAGCGCGCAGGCTATGGTAAAGAGCCAGGCTAAGTCAAGATCAAGAAAGGCTCATTCTTCCATTCTACTTCAGGTGAAAGCTGGTTCCGTCAAACAGGAGTTTGAGAAGCAAGATGAACTGAAGCGCTCGGCAATGAGGGCAGTGGCCGCCCTGCTGACTATCCCTGAAGTGGGTAAAAGCCCTATCATGGCCGACTTCTCTTCCCAAATCCGATCTAATCCCGAACTTGCTGTCCTCTTTGAAAGCATCCAGAAGGATTCCACTTCAACTCCCAGCACAGAATCAATGGAGCTTAGCTAGTCCTCCTCCAGCCCTCAGGGGGGCCCTTACTAAAGAGGGGCTCACCCCAGGCCTGAGGCCTCACCCTTCACTACAGACCTCTGCTTTGCCTTCTCATCACCTCCCTGGGGGCTCTCCTGCTCCTGGTCAGGCTCAGTGCCTTCTTTAGGGACCCCAACCAGCAGGCTCTCACCAGAACTGGAGGCTGCCAAGTTGGGCCCTGTAACTCAGGACACCCATAGTGCAATAGGGTGAGGACATTCCCAAGCCCTTCCACAGAAGCCCATCTATATACCCTCTCCATAGTAGTCTGGTTTCTTCAAGCTGGGGGCAGGTGGTTTCCCTACCTCCTGAAATAGTAACTATTATTAGAAACATGCTGTGCCCAAAGCTATGAAATGTTAGGAGGCAGTGGGCTGACCTTCCTTCCCACTAGTGTCTCAAACTCATCACACCACTTCCATTTTTTCACTGTACTTGATCTGGAAATCTGAAATGCCAAGAGTGAGTGCCCTGGTTGGGGATCTTAAAACAATTCAAATACCTCTGAGTTATTCACATTTTGGATTCCTAACTGGCAATGATTAATCAAATTTGGAGGTAGAATAAGGGTTTTTGGCTAGAAGTGAAGATGGGTAGGGTAAGAAATAAAAGTACCAATCACCTTTTGTGTCACGGCCCAGATGTAATCATTGGTTTGTGTTCTGAGAGTTTTGAACATGTTACTTCTAGATAGTAGAGGACAGAAAGACAGGTCAAAATCTTTTCTGTATGTTCCAGGTCAATAAAAACCTAAATTACTTGCTATATTCTCACAATTTCCCCAGTAACTATACCATCATCTTCAGTATACTTCCCAAGTCCACTAAATGGAATCATAAAAATGACCAACTCAGTTATCAAATGTTTTCAGAGATTTCAATAGGTGGCAGTCAAAACTTGCAAGTCATTACCTGCTGGAACTAAAAAGGGTGTGAATAATCAAATGCAGTCATGGCTAGCACTCCACAAAAATGTTTGTTACAACCAGTGGAGTGCTTTTGGTAGACTGACCAGGATGATGAGAACAAAAACATCCCACAACAAACTAAAATACCATATGCCATATTCCTTGTGACCTATACTGTCACTTAAAACCATTATTTTGAAAAGTAGGATCAAGTATGTCCTCAACAGATTGTAACCTTATACTTAACATACTAAATTTTAGCTTTTGTTGTCAACAGTGTTAGAGGACTGCAGCTTAATTAACCAAGTGTTAAACTGATCTCTCACCTTGGGAAATGGTTAACAATCATGCCTAAAGAAGCAGGCTAGGGGAGGGGAGGGGAGGATTTGAGATAGAATTCTAATTTTAAATACCAAAGACTAGTCATATAGAAGAGGGGTTTGGGTAGCATCCTGCTGTGTATTTATTAAGGACAGAAGCTGTAGGATGCTACTCTGCACCCTCTATTAAGAATGTATGGTAGCATAGTACCTAAGGCATTTGACGCTCACCAGAAGGCTGGTGGTTCAAACCCACCAGCCACTCCTCAGAAGGAAGGTTGGGCAATCTACTTCCGTAGTGATACTGCTTCAGAAACCCAAGGAGGGGTCGCCATGAGTCAGGTCAGATTCAACTGCACGTAACAACAACGAAAGAAATTCATCAGGATACTTCCATGTATTTTTTCGGTCCTCAGAAGAACCACACAAGGTAACTGTGATCTGACTTTACAAAGTGATGCCAAGAATGATCACTCACTCAGACCTCCAAGTCTATCAAGTGTCTCAAAACCTATTTGGGTCTGATGGCCAAGTCCATATTCCCTGTCTAACTCTGACCAATTGGAGGTGGCCAAGGCAGTCTAAGGCAGTCTGGATACCTGAGGTTATGTTCCCTGTAGAAAACATCAAATGCCCTTTCTATGAACCTCTTCAAATCAAAGAAGCCACAAGAATGTTAACGGGAAAAGAAAGACGCCAGAATGTTCACACAGAAAAGAACAATCAATCTCTGGCAAGCTATTGTAGTTAAGAAATGAAAAACTGAAATCAAAAGGAGAAAAAGGAGATGGCAGAGGTTTTATGGTTTTATTTAGCACAAATAAAACTTATAAATGAGCTGTCTATTCATTTTCTTCACTACGCAGCCTTGCATTGGGATTGGTGACTCTGATGGCCAGTTGGGCTGCTCTTTCCACGATGGCTTTGCGGTTCTTGGAGGAAACATTGTGTGCGATCTCAGCACAGTAAGATCTGGAAGACAAATGATAAGTGGGTGAGGAGCAGGCCAGCCCTGCACACACATCCAAGGAATCCTGAGGCTTCAGCATTTTCCCTCCAGAACCACAGGCTGGGTGCAGGGTCATAGGGCTGCTGAAGGGGACTAATGTGCCCCAGTCCCTGACTCCATGGTGTTAGCAATGAGAATCAAATGTCCCCAGTGGCAACAAGGCAGCTATATAAAGCTTTCACTGTTCCCTCTCATTTCATCACAAGAAGCCTTGTGATCTAGGTATTACTCTACTTCCGTAGTGATACTGCCTCGGAAACCCAAGGAGAGGTCGCTGAGCCGGGTCCGACTCGACGACAACAAACCTATGAAGAAGCCAGAGCCCACAAGCATTCCCAAGCCACACAGCAAGTAGTGGACAGGTCAGGATGATCCTGGAGGATATCCTACACTCCAGGTTCAGAGGTCTTGACCACAGTCCTCCTGACTAATCTGTAGTCTCAGGAAGCCTAGACTCATGGAACCTCTTAGAATTCTCTAGAAAGTGACCAAGAGCAGAATTCAACAGTCAGAATCAAGCTAAGGGCAACCCAGCTCCAGACAACAGGCATTTGACTCATTTGAGCACTGAGAACACAATTCAAATAGGAAAAAACAGCATTGCCTAAAAAGTCCCCCAGTAGTACCAGCATCATTACCATTCTAGTGCTTTCTGTTCTAACTCATTTATTCCTCATCCTCTAGAAGACAGCCACACCACTCCAGTTGATAACATGTTGGCAAATGAGCAAGACACATACACATCCAGAGTGTTTCATTTTCTATAGAGTCCAATTCAAGTTCAAAGTAGCTGTATTTTTCAGTTTTCCAGAAAATATTTAAGTTGCATTACCTGTCTCACCTTTTCATTTTCACTTTTTAATACCCCCCTCCCTAGTCTACATGCATATTTAATAATCAAAATCATATTTATATAACATGTAAAATACTCTTACCCCTGCTTGGGCATTCTCTATACTACTAATTACAATCATTTTTAATAGACATAAAACATTCTATCCAGTGAAATCCATTTTCAAATTATTCCTAATTGGATAGTTTGTATGAATCAAGTCATCAACATCTGCATAGTTAGATGAACACTGCCAAGCTGCTCTAAAAACAAAACTTTTTCCTGGCAATCAGCAACATACTTTGAGTGCCAATCCTACTACAAATGGTTACTTTTGCTGCGCAAAAAGCTTAAACTGCACTTGTCTTTCTGTTACAATCCACCTGTTAATGGTTTGGGCATCTATCACCCACCAATTCCTACACTCATCCTTTCCAAAGGAAATTTCCAGCATCTTCTCAAAAGTCAATAGTGGTTTTGTTCATTTTTACTACTTGTGTCTACATCCACTGTTGACAGACTTTTGTAAACATAAATGTTATTAGCCAGGCATGCTCTAATTCACTAGGGCAAAGAAGCTTAATTAGCTTCTATCTACCAGTAAGGGAGGATAATAAACTGCTTTCTACTTAACCAACAAACACCACTCCCTCCAATCTAGAGACAAGTAAAGTGTCTAATTTTCCATGGACAATCTTTTTTAATCTCTTCTCACTCTGCTGCTCTAGTTTTTGAGCTTAGGGACATGTGGCTTGAGCAGACCCTGAAGTCTCTTACACACCAAGTTCACTAAGTGTCTAATTGCTCAAACCACCTACAAGTAACTTTACTGTGAACCCTCCATATACTTTTCCATCAGTACATCTAAGCATGAACTCTCTCTGCCTGAAAGTCTTGCTCCTTTTCTGTGTCAAATCATACTCAGCTCTGAAGCCCACCTGCAACAAATAGCATCTCCTTTGTACCTGTATTATTCTGAAGATACCCCCTGCTATAGTGTAAGATTCAAGTGCCTGTTAGGTCTGAAGCCATGTCTGATTTTATCTCTTCACCACCCACATACATAAAGCACTATTCTGTGAAAAATGTACTTCAGTGTGTGCAGAATCAAAGAAAAGTCCTCTTTCCTGGTCTTGGGTCTACACACTTCTGAATAAGACAAGACTCCTGAACTCTCTAGCAGAGAAAATATTCTGAAGCCCCAGTAAGCATTCTCTGAGCTCCTCCTGCCAAGGAACTACTACCAATTTCCACAGAATATGCAATTGCTCCAAACGCATACCAAGAAGTCCAAAGTCCCTACCAAACAGCCCACATGTGTTCATGCTCACAGATGTAGGTTTCTGAGCCCTGAGCCCAAAGACTCAACTCACTTGTTGCACATCAGCAGCACTTCCAGCTCCTTGACATTGTGGACCAGGAACTTGCGGAAGCCACTAGGCAGCATGTGCTTTGTTTTCTTGTTGCTCCCATAACCAATATTGGGCATCAAGATCTGACCCTTAAATCTTCTCCGCACCCTGTTGTCAATGCCTCTGGGCTTTCGCCAATTGCGCTGCAATAAATAAACATATCAGTGGGTGAGTGCCTATGTAGCCAACTCTTCCTTTTGGAAGGAAAAAGCTCCAACTAAAGTGGAAATATGCCTAACAGTGGTTGAACTGGGTACTATATTACACTACTGCTTTCCGTGGTTTTTTTTTTTTTTGGGGGGGGGGGGATGTTAGAGGCTCCTGCCTTTGACCACCAGGAATGTAGCCTGCAAATGAAGCAAAGGGGAGGGAGGAGCCAACCTCATTTACCCTCCTCCTAAGCAAAGATAAAGTAGAATAGCTATCATTGAATTAAGGAACTATGTCAGGGTGTAAAGTGTGTATCTGCACATGCCCTTAGGACCTAAGTTTTCTCATCTATAAAATGAGAACAATTTATCCCGCCTACTGTCATTAAGGCCACAGAATATCTGTGATACAAAGTCCCATCGAAAACCAAAATCAAACCCATGGGTGTGGAGTCAATTCCAACTTAGTGATCCTATAGGACAGAGAAAAGTGCCCCACAGGGTTCCCAAAGCAGACTACCACACCTTCTTTCTGTGCAGTGGTTGGTGGGTTTCAAACCAGTTAGCAGCAGAGCTCTTAAGCACTGTGCAACCAAGGCTCCCTCAAAGTCCCATAACCAATAAAACCAAACCCACCACTATCAAGTCAATTCCAATTCATAGCAACTCTACAGGGCAGAAAAGAATTTTCCCGTAGGGGTTAGAAGGCTGTACATCTTTACAGATGTAGACTGCCTCATCTTTTTCCTGTAGAGGTACTGGTGAGTTCAAACCACTGACATTTTGGTTAGCAGCCGAATGTTTTAAGTACTGCAACACTAAGAGCTCAAAGTCCCACAGACACCTCTAAGTAGCCAAGTGCCCCCTTATCATTTAAATGCAAACATTAGATCAGGGTTTCTCTAGAGAGCTCTTCCACCAACCTGGAACTGGTTCACTTACCAAAGGTAATTTTCCAATGATGTGATGTGGTGTCAGAAACACAGCAGTCTATTTAGGAACCCTGTCCTTAGCCCCAACACTCATTTCCATCCAAGGGCCACATACCTTAATTTTGACATAACGGTCTGATTGATGACGGATAAACTTCTTGGTCCTTTTTTTGACAATCTTGGGCTTAACCAGGGGTCTGAGGGCAGCCATGATGCCTTGAAGAAAGAGACAGGGCCAGGTCAAGACAGAGTCCTGGAAGGAGGATTTCCTATCCAGAGCCTGAACACTGTTCCAGAGGATCTTCCAATCACCAGCTACTGAACAAACTGGGAATGGAATGGGTCTCTGGCATGCTTGTTTTCCCTCCCGTTTCCGAAGCTGGCAGAATACTAGCCATTCTCCAGATGCGATCCTGGGAGGTCAGGGGCTACCTCATCCAAAGATCAAGAGTGTCAGAAGATGATCTAAAACAAAACTGATTTTTTTTGGCTTGCAAGTAGCAGCAAATCCAACCCTACAAAGTATCCCAACTCCCATAGTTCAACTTCCTGTTAGTTGCATTCTTTGAACACAAAATCTACTTGAACCCAGCCTCAGTTTTCTCATCTGTAAAACGAAGATACTGCAAGCTGAACGTGTGGTGGGGGTGTTATGTGCCGTCAAGTCGGACCCGAGGCATAGCGACCCCTCCTTGGGTTTCCGAGGCAGTATCACTACGTAAGTTTATTGCCCAACCTTCCTTCTGAGAAGTGGCTGGTGGGTTTGAACCGCCAGCCTTCTGGTGAGCAGTCAAGTGCCTTAGGCACTACGCTACCAGAGCTCCTATGTGCATTAAGTAAATGCCCAATTAAGAGATTTATAATTCCCATAGAATGCTGCTACTCTGCAATACACTCAAAGCATACACAAAACCATGACATACTTCTAAAATGTCTCAAGACCTTTGTAAATATTATTGTTCTACCTGGAGGTAGAGTATTGCCTTCAAGATTACGTCCCTCAAGGTGGTCTTCCTTGCTACTCCCATTTGTTTCTACTGCACCTTTTTGTGTTTTCTTCACATCCATCAACCTACTTTTTGTTTGGAACACCGCAGGTGCTTAATAAAACTACTTTCTTCCATGGGACTGCGATATCCCCGAAAGCAAGTATGCAGTTTATTCTGACCCACTGTTAGAATTTGTTAACTGAACGAGAGGCCTGACAGTTCATTTTTCACAACGCTGCAGCAGCCCCCAGGGCCAGAAACCGACAGAGAGGGCACGTCCAGCTGCGACACGGAAGGACACACGTGGGCAGACGTTGGAAAGAACGGTATCTGGAGGACTCAAGCCTGGGGCCGCCAGGCACCCCGAGTCACTCCATCACCTTAGAAGTCCCCTTTGTCTCGCTCTACCCCTGCGCTGCCAGGGCTGAAACAAGACAGCCGCAGCGCCAACTCCAGGTGGCCTCCGTAGGAAGGCGAGCGGCCGTGAGGGGCGAAATAATCCCCATCACGCCCCAGGCCGCTTCGCTATGTTCCTGTCCGCCCTCTAGCCAACAGACATGGACTGTGCCACCTAAACGACCGCGTAGAATGGGAGGCCACCTCACCAGGAGGCAGCGGGGCCAGATGCACACCGCAGAGACGCGGATGCCCAATGATTTAGACTCACCGGTCGGAGATGGCTACGACCTCCGTAGGCAGCGCCGAGGAAGAGAGGGGACGGTGGGGCGCAAAGACTGATGGGACTGAACTTCTGGGTCCTAGCAGGGAAAAGGCAAGCACTTCCGGTTCCGCACCCTTCAACGAAAAGCTAAATGCCATAGAAATAATGCTACAATAAAATTCCGAGGGAACTTACGTTTTCTTAGACACGTCTCTAGGAAAGTGCTGAAGATTTATCATACTTGCCATTGGTACGAGGTAGAAAATTTAGAATTCTTTCTAAGCATCTATGATCCGGTACGGCAGCTACTTCCGCCAGCAGTTGAAGCCCCTTTTCTCGAGGATAATCCAACTTTTATTTCCGCCAGCGTTTCTCCTATCCCGAAGTGCGCCTCTTAGTGGCAAGGGTGGAACAAAACAGAGACATCGTAATTCACTCACGTAATTTGTTGTTGTTATGTGCCGTGGAGTCAGACCTGACTCATAGCGACCCCTCGTTGGGTTTCCGAGGCGATATCACGGAAGTAGTGAACCACCAGGAGCTCTGGTAGCATAGTGCCTAAGGCACTTGACTGCTAACCAGAAGTCTGGCGGTTCAAACCCACAAGCCACTCCTCGGAAGGAAGATGGGGCAATATACTTCCATAGTGATACCACCTTGGAAACCCAAGGAGGGGTCGCTGTGAGTCGGTCCGACTCGACCGCACATAACAACAAAAACAGTGAACCACCAGCCTTCTGGTTAGCAGTCAAGTGCCTTTAGGCACTACGCTACCAGAGCTCCTCACCCACGTGATAGTAAATAAATATGAGAATGTAACGTAACATTCAATGCACACTTATATCCAATTCTATGAGGTAATTCTATTACTGTTTTCCCATTTATATATGTGAAAACTGAAGTCTGGAAATCTGGCACCAGCCATTGGACTAGACTGCTTAATTTTTTATTGCTCTTGATTTATTTTGCTTTGCTTTTAAGATAATTCTGAAAATCAAATTTGAGGAGGAAAAAAATTGCCCTTGCTTCCACAACAAAAGAATAGGTGACTTTAGAAAAGAGTGGTTCTAGGGGTGAGATGGAGGCAGACATGAACATAGATTGTGCAGATGATTGAATAGGTGGAGAGAAAATAGAGTGTTGACAACTCTTTATGCTGTGAGGCAGAGGAATAGAGGTTGGAGGAGACCCAGGAAAATGAAACATTTTGTCCAAGGTCATACATCTGGATATAGGATGTGGACCAACCCTTGCAATACATAGGGAAGTAGATCACATTCCTAGTCCCTGTTTCAGCATTTCTGCTGAAATCAGCATCAGAGCAACACACAAGCCTCCACTGACAGAATGTGGCTGTGCATGAGGCAGGGAATAGAACCTGGATAGATCTCCAGCATGGAAGGCAAGACTTACACCACTGAACCACCAATGCTTCCTTTATGGGGACACACCACACCTAATAAATCCTGCTTATCTCATGGACTGTGGGAAGTCAGGTGGGAGGCAGATCAAGCAAGCAAGTTGCTTATGACAGGCTGACAGAATACATGTAAAATGAAAAGATCTTGAGGGGATCAGGTGGATTAACCAGGGGGAGGGGTCATGAACCAGAGAGCATGCCTCCAGTTTCCAAAGACCTGAGAATCTGCCCAAATGGCATAGTCTTTGGAGGTAAGGGGCATGCTGCCACCTCATTTCACAGAGGAGGGCACAGGGGTACCCACACTGCCTGCTGCCTCTCTGTGGACACTGAGATTCCAGGACAAGAAGCTGGAGGTGCCATGCAGGTGTCCTGGCAGCATCACAGTGAACACATACCTGCTGGATTCCTCCAGGCTCAAGACCCACCTTTCCAAATGGCTCTCTGGCCACAGCTCTGCACCAAGAAACCACTCAGCTGAGTCATAAGTAGCATGCAAAAAATTCCAAGATGGTTTATTTCAAAAGGCAGAGGGCAGGGGAGGGAAACACTGAAAACCTGCATATCTTCCTTTGGAAAAATCTACCCTGTGAGACACTGGGCAGTTTTGGTCTGGAAGGAGGTGGCCCCTGGGGCCAACCACAGAAACTATTTGTTTTTGTCTGACTCTGACACTCCCCTGTGTCTCTAGCTGCACTGGCCCCTGGCCACAGGATGACAGGATTCCAGCAATCCCTGGACCACTCTAGTTGATGTAGTAGACCTTGGGGGCATCATAATAGGCATGGGTCATGTAGTTGTTCCTTATGGGCCACCAGCGGTTGGGGTGGTAGATGGCTGGGTAGGCAGGGGGCTGGATTTGGATGTGGCTGAAGAGTGCTAGGCTCCGGTCCGTGGCCACGGTGGGCAAGTAGAGCTGCAGCTTGTCCAGGAGGTGGCCTGGCCAGAAGAGGTTGGGGTGAGTTTGCTGCTGACCATCAGACCTCCTTGTTTTCAGCTTTCTGGAAAATGAGAAGACACAGGGAAAGACATCATGGCAGGACAGGCAAGGGCTGGGGTACCTTTTCAGCAGAGCAAATTGATTGTGGCCCAAGTAGAGATTTAGCACTGTGCTAGGCTCTTTAGTAATTCTTTATAGAAGTAGATTGTCCGTCTCTCTTAGGTGCTCTGGTGATGCAGTGCCTAAGGCATTTGACTGCTAACCAGAAGGTTGGTGGTTCAAACCTACCAGCCATTCCACTGAAGGAAGACTGGGCAATACACATCTGTAAAGATATACTGCCTTGGAAACCCAATGGGGGTCGCTATGAGTTGGAATCAACTTGATGGAAGTGGGTTTGGTTTTAAGCTTTTTAGTAAGGAGCTCTGGTGGTGCAATGCCTAAGGCATTTGACTGCTAATCAGACAGCTGGTGGTTCAAACCCACCAGCCACTCTGCAGAAGGAAGACAGGGCAATCTACTTCTGTAAAGATTTACTGCCTTGGAAACCCAATGGGCGTCACTATGAGTCAGAATGGACTTGATGGCAGTGTGTTTTGTTTTTCCCCCAGAAGCTCTTTAGTACCTCAGTCTTCAGAGGAGGTCTGAGAGGTAGATTCTGTTATCCTGTCTACTTAGAATCGGTCTAGTGAGGAACTCAGGCTTATAGGCACTGTCATTTCCCCAAGGTTACATGGTAAGTGGCAGAGCACATGCCTGAATTCCAGTCAGCTGCCTCATGGTAAAATAAACATGAAATTTACCACTTTAACCATGCAATTCAGTGGCATTAAATACATTCACAATGTTGTATATCCATCACTGCTATCTTTTTTCAGATCTTTTTCATCATACCAAACAGGAGCTCTGTATTCATTAAACAATAATTTCCCATCATCCACTCCCCACAACCCCTGGTACCTCTGTTTTACTTTGTCTCTGTGAAGTTGACTATTCTGTTGTTGTTGTTGTTATTTGCCGTGGAGGCGGCCCCGACTCATAGCGACCCCTCCTTGGGTTTCCGAGGAAGTATCACTACGGAAGTAGGATTGCCCAACCTTCCTTCCGAGGAGTGGCTGGTGGGTTTGAACCGCCAGCCTTCTGGTTAGCAGTCAACTGCCTTAGGCACTATGCTACCAGGGCCCCTTGACTATTCTAGATACCTCATATAAGGGGAATCATACAGTATTTGTCATTTTGTATTCGGCTTATTTCACTCAGCATAGTGTCGTCAATATTAAAGCCTAAGCTTATAAGTGTACCCAATCACTTTTCTAGAGACACTTTAATGTGGTGTTCAGGATACAACTGGGTTCAAATTCCTACCCTACCACTTAACAGATGTGTGACTTTGAACTAGATAGTTATCCTTTCTGTACTTCAGTTTCCTCTCCTATAAAATGGGTACACGAAGAGTAACTGGGGAGCTCTGGTAGCATAGTGCCTAAGGCACTTGACTGCTAACCAGAAGGCTGGAGGTTCAAACCCACCAGCCACTCCTTGGAAGGAAGGTTGGGCAATCTACTTCTGTAGTGATACTGCCTCGGAAACCCAAGGAGGGGTCGCTATGAGTCGGGTCCGACTCGACGGCACATAACAACAAGAGTAACTGAGGAGCTCTGGTGGCATAGTGCCTAAGGCATTTGAATGCTAACCAGAAGGCTGGCAGTTCAAACCCACCAGCCACTCCTCGGAAGGAAGGTTGGGCAATCTACTTCCATGGAGATACCCAAGGAGGGGTTACTATGACTTGGAATCAACTTGATGGTAGTGAGTTTGGGTTTTCTCTGTTTAAGAGTAACTGATGTCATAGGGTTGGTGAGAGGATTAAAATGAGCAAACGCATGTGAAGCACCCAGTGCAGTGTCTGCCTGGCCCTCTGTAAGTGTTGGTTTATTGCCTCTGAGCTCCTGGGAGACTGAGACCCAGATAAGAGCTTCCAAAAAGGGTACATGTACCCCCAGGAGTAAGCATAGCTTTAACAAAGGCTGCTTTCTTACAGTATCATTTTACTTGAAGATATAAGGGGAAAGAAACCTTACTTTTTATATTAAAATGAGCACAGATTTATCAGAGTACGAGGTAAAGTGTACATGGATCTTTAAACCAGGAGGGAGACTTGGTAAAGACTCTGTCCTTAAGATTGCTTTGAGCTGCACTCCTGGACACCTGGTTGGGGATGGACCACTTCAAGTATTCTCTGTTGCCAAAAGGAAAGAATTGAGACTCACATGCTGTTATTTAAGTGAGAATGGTCAGACTTCATCTCACCACCTTGGTCATGTTGTCAGAAGGGACCATTCCCTGGAGAAGGATATCATGCTTGGTAAAGTGGAGGGCCAACAAAAAAGGGGAACAAGATGGATTGACACAGTGGCTACAACAATGGGCTCAGGTATAGCAACGATTGTGAGGCTGGCACAGGACCGGGCAGTGTTTTGTTCTGTTGTACACAGGGTTGCTATGAGCCAGAGCTGACTCAATGGCACCTAACAACAACAACAGCAACCCTGTGAAATACACATACATGTACCCATTTGACAGCAAAGGAAACTGAAGCCCAAGAGAAAAGCCTGGCCCAAGGTAACAACAAGGCAATGGCAGAACCAGACATCAAAGCCACATTTCTTGACTCCTGGGCATCAAATCCATGTTTCTGTTTCTTGACTCCTCCTGACCAAAAAGGGACTATGTGGTATCTTCATGGGGTATCTGTGACATCAATCCCTTTTGTGCCTTGGGCTCCCTCCTGCTGGGGTCTGGTGCCAGCTTCCCCAGTGGGCAGCATGTGACATGTAGGTGATGGACTTGCGAGTCCAGGCCCCTCCTCCAAGGCCAGGCCAGCCCTCCAAACTGCCCTCCCTCGTTCCACATTTAGATGAGTACTACAAACCTGGTGAGTTCCTCAAACTCCTTAAAGTGTATTTTCTTGATTTTCTTTGGTGTTTTCCTAAAGAAGAGAGAGATATTTTATTAGGAAAGGGGAAAGCCAGGCTAACGGGGAAGTAGGGCAGGGCTTGCAGGGCTCTATCTGGAAAACTCCTTTCACCTGACTGTTCTCCTGCTCCAGTGGGCCGACAGCAGGCTTGGGTCACCTAGACCCAATATTATCATCTGCCGTGCTAGGTGACTTTGGGCAATCACATTGCTTTTCTGAGCCTGAGTTTTCTTATTCCCCAAATGGGGACATCCTGGGGGGTAGTTAGGAAAGATGCTTAATAAATGTTGTTGTTGTTGTTGTTGTTATGTGCCATCAAGTCAGACCCGACTCATAGTGACCCCTCCTTGGGTTTCCGAGGCAGTATCACTACAGA